ACGCTGGAAGGAGATACCTGGTAATGGGACATCTCCGACAACCGATAGGTACGTTTTCGTCGGATCTCAGCATCCAGCGGGGTAAGATCATCGCCTCCTCCCTTGAAAAAAATGCACTACTCTTACGGAACTAATGACCTTAGCTGTTGACGCGCCCGGAATGACTAATCAATCCAACTAGTTAAAGTGCAAGTGAGTTCATGATTGTTTTCAAGTCAAGTACAGTTCAATGGAGAAAAATTCGGAGTGGCACGCAAAGGGATCTGTTCGTAAAATAATTAATTTAACAATAAATTTGTCTAAAAAGTTCCTAGCTTGCTCACTCAATTAAAAATATACCTTAACATTGAAGTTGAACTTCCAAGAATTAATCTTTTTTCTCATAATATTGTTGAAAACCTAGTATGTACTTGTGAATTAATTAATACGATTATACTAAATGGCTCAAAACATAGGGCTGTAGAAACATTACATCGTAAAACGACTTCAAATGCATTATAACGAAAATCGAAAAGCCCTCAAATTATGTTTTGCATTCTTGAGTGTTTATTCTAAGGGAATGAGTGAGTTTTGAAATTCTGGAACAATTAATATTCGTCGTGAACCCAAAGTTAAACATGTTTCTGGAAATATATTTGAAGTATGTTATACGGACCCCGATATGTACATTATGTTTTGAATTACAGCAGGAAATCCTGGTTTTAACCGTCTCTTAATTAAAAACGCAAGGGATCGCATGTAATTATAATCTATTAAGATTTTTTTTGTAAAGAGACATCACACGATTGTTAGTCATTGCGTTTATGTTCTCACGCAAATCTTTGTATTTAAAATCACTCATTATTCTTTGAACTTAAAGTACTCGCCACCATCCCTTTGCTAACTATAACGTCACACTTGTTCACACTCTGCGCTTGCTGCCTCTAGACTAGAAGACATTGAATTTTTTCTATATATCGATTGCAACTCGCACAACCAAGCGAGTTAGTGAACAAATAACGGCATATATGCGTTCATTCTATTAATTTTAAGTATTACATTTTAGTGTAAGTAGTAAAGTTTAGTATAAAATGGGTTTTCAATATCAAGTGATCTCACATCTGTAGATGATATTTCATTCTGACAATTTGATTGAATAGAATGTTAAACATTTTTTATAAACAATATTTTTAGGGTTATAAATACAGAAATGTAGCCCGATTATATTTTCTTTCAAATCTGACTCGTGCTATGTCATACTAATATTTGCTTTGTGTTGGAGCATGCAACATTTGGAATACCATAGAAAATACATCAGCATATTTTAATTACATTGTGAACAACACAAAACACAGTGAAGTATAAAAAGTATATACAATTTAAATAAAAAACGTAATTTGACAAAAGCATACACAATAAGAAAGTATAACAAAGCTATCAATAAAATTATGTACACGATAAGTGGAAGACAGTACTTTGAAATGTTAATTTGCCATTCATTTGACACCCCATTCAACTGCAAAAACGATTACAAGAAAACATATTTCATTGTAAGTCACACATAGGTAAAACGAAATAACAAACAAATCACGTACTGTGATATATTTTTACATAATTTCACAAAAAAACTTATTTAATGATGAAATTGTAGTCTTTGCAAATATCACAAACACATCAGTATTGATTACGTCATCTAAACTATGAGGTTTTGCGTGTAAAATTTAACACATCACCAATAGGCCACATCCATTTTGTGTAGTGACACAGTAACTTGTAATATATTTCTTAATATCCTTGTGTTTTCATCAGTATCCTTAGCATCCGACCACCTGTTTTACAAATATCAATTGCATCTGTGTTTTTTTTTATATTCGTCAAGTTGCGTTCGATTTCTCGAAAACTCCATACACGATCACACGGAGGGCTGTATCTGTAATATCCTGTGTCTAATCATCGTCATCCGATCTGAAACATTATGAAGAATTCATAATTATTTAGTGATATGTACACTCAGAGATCAAGGCAAACCAAGGTAAGGGGCTTTCTTGAGTAAAAATTAGACACTTATATGCATTTTTGCATGTAGGCTTGGGGTTTTCCCCAACCAGGTATCTCGCTCAAGTTTGACCTGTAATCAAGCACTCTTATTCTGCTATCAGAATGCGTCCAAGGGTATTTAATAGAGATTGAGAAGTATGGCTCATGGCATCAACTGATGCCACTTGCAAGGGTCTCTACGAAGGCCAAGAATTCGAGCCGAGACGGTGGCAGGATATTCGACACTAGCTCGAATGTTAAGTAGAATTCGATGCTGTCTGAAAACAGTTTTCTAGCGTCCGGCCGTTCTGATCGATAGTTTTCCGTGGTTTCTCCGGTCAACACCACATGAATGCCGGAGCAGTACCCTAACAAGTTGGCCATAGCCCGCGCGCTATCTTTTCTTGCTTTTCCTTGTCCTATCCCCAGCCCTTACTTACACACTTACACACACACACTTACATGCATTACGCTACATTTAGAGAGCTTATTCCGACTAGAGATGTGCCCTGTAGATACCTGGATTGAGAAACCTAAAGACAACATGTAGATCGTAGTCGGAACTCACCCTCCAGCGAGGGAAGAGCACCACCACATCTAATGATAAAAACATGCACTACACTTATGAGTCTAACGGCCATAATGAACAATTGACGCGCCCAGACACAATTCAAAGTAACGTAGACGTTTCACAGTGGAAATTCTTGCATTGGATAGTTTGTTTTTTTAAATTTAATCGTTTGTTAAAGTACAATGTTCAGTTTACAATAAAAACTTTGCAATTGTTTGATGACTTAATCTAGGTTAAAACTGTACTTAATTAATCTTAATCTAGGGAGAGGAAACAAAAGCATCTCAGGAGAATTATTCAACATTTGCAAATATCTGGAGGAAAGAATGGAGCGGGAATCTGTTCTTAATTCTGGTTTTGTATCTGGGGACTTTTCCAAGTCTGTGGTGAGTTGATGTCTTTATATGAAGGATACGTTTGTGTCCAAGTTGTGTGACAGGCATTGCATAGTGTAGTAAATGTGCCAGGGCCAGGGATGGCGGTGAGGGGGCGGGTGCTGACCTTGATCCGGAGCTTCCGAAGGCGGCGCCGAGGAGCACGCCCAGCAAGGAGATGCCGCTCACCACCAGCCCACCGCCCGCGGCGATGGTACTCGGAGTGAGCGTTATGCTGGGCTCCATCTCCAAGGCCCCGATCATCTTCGGGCTCCCGTCGGTCTGAAGGAAACGCAAAAGGCGCTGCGGATTCTGTTACACACGTGGCAGGCTCATATCGCCTCATTCTTTCGTCATGACATCATTCCTGCTTAATTAATTAATTAAAAATATTTATTTACTTATTTTTTACTTACTTTTTACTTATTTTTTATTTATTTTTTATTTATTTATTATTTGTTTTTTATTTACTTATTTATTTTTATTTATTATTTATTTTTTATTTATTTTTTATTTACTTATTTATTTATTTACTTATTTATTTTGTGCATTTATTTACAAGTTAAAAACTGAAATACGGGGATGAAGTAACATTTGCGTAGTCTTTCTTGTGTTCCAGAACCTTTACTACTTTCTACCTAATGCTTTCTTATTGCATCAAGTTGAATTATGAACAAAGGTAGCAACGAGCGTTTTGGGCAAAATCTGAGAACAAGAAATATTCCCTCCAGTGTAAAAGAAACTATTTGCATAGGAAAACGAGGTAAATATTATGGCTGCTCGCCTTTATATTGATCTGCATGAACGAATAACTTTTCTTTAACACTAAACAGATGCAGGCTTCCGCGGCCCGAGTCGAGATGTCCGGACCGTTCCGTGCGGCCGACCACATCCCGCGCCACCCCACGTGACACCCTCTCGCAATCAACGGGCGGCCTTCTGATTGGCCAGCCTTTTCAGCCGACCATCCTCCGCCCACCCCAACCATATATAAACCCGAGCGCTGCTGACCGCTCCAGCGCGGACCAGCCCTGAGGAAGACCACGACAGGACGGTCGGAACGTCGGCAACACAGCCTTCGGCGGGCTCTTAAATGTGTTCTTTGCTTAATATTCGTCTATACTTTATGGGTATCGGCAGCGTCAAACACCTGTAGCGAAGAGCAAATGACCACAGATAAATTTCAGCGGAAGAAGGAAAAGCAACAGAAGCAAGAAGATGGAGCATAATGAGAAGTGGACGGACAAGAAAAAAGGCAAAAAATATGATGAAGCACTCGAGTAAAAAGAAGCACTATAGTAAGAGGAACAAGAGTGAAACGAAGCACAAATGTGAGATATAGAACAATTGTAATAAGCTCAATTATGAAATGAAGCACTGGAGTAAAAATTTCAAGATGGAGAAGAAGATTTACAAGAATAAGAATCCCAAGATTGTGGAAAAGGCAAAGAGTTAGAAGAAGCCCAAGAGTAATAAACAATAAGGAAAAAAAATAAATAAACAAACCGGAAACCCACAAGAATAAGAGAAACAGGAGAAGCAGAGCCGGTATCATCAAAGGAATTCCTTAACTTCGCTTCGTGAAGTCACGGAAGTTAAGCAACTCGAGACACCACGGAATCCTGGACGGGTGTCGTTCTAGGAACCCCGGTTACATACGGCCGAAAGAATAGAAAGCCTCCCACTGTGACGTTACGCGCGAAAAGTGCAACAAAAACTTGATGGAGAATTACTCCAGATACACTCAATTCCCAAGACGGCTAAGAGACTGTTAAAAAAAAGTAACACGAGGTTTATGTTTAATCAGTTTCCCCCAACACTCACCTCCGGGAGAAGGCGAATTTTCGGTATGGCAGCGATGAAGCGTGACAACTGCCACAGGCCCTTTCTGAGGATGGGCTCCACTCGCTCCACCACCTCATGCTCCAGATGCTTCTGGACGACGGGCAGCAAGGCCTCCTGGATGGTTGGCCACGTGAAGCCCCACTCGCCGAGCCCGGTGACGTCCGCGCGCAGGGGCCCCATTTTCTCCACGCGGAGGCAGCGCAGCTCCGCGGAGAACGACGGCGTGAGCAACACCTCCACTCTCAGCGTGAGCTCAGACAAGGTCCCCTGCGCAATGAATCGATCCAGTGGGCTCGGTTCGTTGGTTGATTAGTGATTCCGGGCGCTTCGAATGCTAAGGTCATTAGTCCCGTTAGTGAAGTGCAAGTTTTCTTTTATCGCGGGAACGGCCGGTGGTATTTCCTCGCTGCCTGCTAAGATGCGGCGGCGACCTACGTCCGCTTGAGGAGAATTTCCCCAGCAAAGTATCTTTCCACCAGAGTGGCTCCCTCCCAGCCGGAACAAGGTCTAAACTCCCGACTGATCGCCCGACATGTGTGGGAAGTGTAGTGCATGTGAACGTAAGAGCGTGTAAGTAAGATGCGAGGATAGAACAAGGAAGAGGAAGGAGAGATCGCGCGCGGTCCGCGGCCCGTTTCTTAGGTACTGCTCCGGTATTCGCCTGGTGTTGATCGGAGGAACCACGGAAAACTACCGATCAGAGCAGCCGGTCGTTTAAATTCTCCACTCAGCGACTGAGTTCGATCTACTCGTAACTGTTTAGCTAGTGTCGAAAATCCTGCCTCCGTCGGGATTCGAACCCTTCGCCTTCCCGATCAGAGGCACCGCATGGACGTCAGTTGAAGCCTTGGGAAACCTTTGCCAGTCGCAGTGGGCGACTTTAATGGAATTTCAGTGCACCTAATAGTTAATTTCATTTTAAATTAATTCCAATGTTACATAATTAGTTTTAGCACTACTTCTTTTAGAAAAATCGTGGATGAGTTCATTTGAAAATTTAAACTTGAGGAATAAAATGAATCGAGAAAGACGATGGTTTTAATATTGGGGATGAATAGATTTGGAAAATATTTGAACCATTAAAAGTGTGAAAATTTTCGAGAATTTAATGAAAATTGGAACTATATTTATAAATGCACTTCCTGTTATAATTGGAAAAAATTAAAAAATACAGTAACTTTTGAAAAAATCTAATATAAACTGGTTTTATAGAAAGTACACCTCAAAATTAAAATATAATGATCCCCGGGACACATTTAGTTATTATTCGGGGCGTGCTTAAATTGTTTCAGCTCAAAAATTTAAATATTTCCAAATTTCAAATTATCTGGGAATTGGCTAAAAAATGGAAGCGGTATAATTCTTCTAAGTCTTTTCTCTATTCGAGAAAATAAAAAAAAATGTAGTCATTTTTGAGAAATTTTTAAAATGTTGCAGAGGTTTCAATAATGTTCTTGTGGGGGCCTTGGAAAACATTTTAAACTTTTAAAATTTTCAAAAGTGCAGTTTGAATGAAAACTGGATCAATGTAATTTTTATAGGCATACTTGTACTTTGATAACAAGGAAAACATTAAGTGAAATATATGGAAGCCACTTCTGACAAACTTTCGAAAATTTCCAAGGCCTTAGCCCCAAAAATTAAAATATCCCCTTGAAAGTCGTAGAGCCTTCAGTATTATCAAACGGTCGATGAATATGAGTTCTGAAGAAAATTCTGTGCTAGCGTTGTTCACGGAAGGACGGAAAAACGTTCTAAGAAAAAAACACTGACTAAAATACGTTTTAGAGGAAGATATTTGCTACATATAGAAACAAGAAAAATGGAATTTTTTGATATCAGGAACCCACATAACTGGCATTTCTCCAATACATTTTTGCCCTTCAGCATTACAATATTTTCTCTATAAGAGCTACTGATAATAATAAAATAATCCTTAGCTCCGTGTGTACCTAAATTAGAGGCGTCCTTTGAGACAGGGAGCTAACCCACAGTATTCGAAATGTCGATTTATCAACGAATTCGATTACGAACCTATTGAACATGTCAATAAATCGATGTTTGGAATATTATGGGATTTTATCTCTCCCACTGGGGGTTTCTGGATTGCCTCTTATTATTTCAAACACATTTTTACCGGAAGGGATGGCTCAGAGCATCAACTGATGTCAGTGCAGTCCCTCTGACAGTGTTGCCCTAGCTTCGAGACCCGACGGTGGCAGGATTTTCGACACAAACTTGTCAGCTAGGTCGAATTCAATCGCTGTCTGGAGGAGAATTCTAGCGGCCGACTCATGTGATCGGTAGTTTTCTGTGGTTTCTCCGATCAACACCAGGCGAATGCCGTACACTAACAAATAGGCCACGGACCGCGCGCGATCTCACCTTCCTCTTCTTTATCCTATCCTCACCCCTTAAATACACACTTACCCCTACATTACCATGTCGGGAGATCTATCAGGAGCTGACGTTTGTTCCGGCTAGGGTGGTGCACCGTTGGATAAAGATACCTGTTTGAGAAAAACCCACTATTCGACGGTAGGATCTCGCCATACAGAAATGATCACCGCCACCTCTTGAACAAAAAACATGCTCGGGACATGGTAGTTGGCGTTCCCGGAATCAGTAAACAATCAATTCAACGTATTTTTACTCACCGCCCCGAGCATTTCTCACCATTAGCTCTCCGGACACGTAGACAGGAGGGAGAAACCCCATATCCACGTGTGCGGCGTACCGCTGATACCTGACGGACACCAGTCGAAGTCCCACAACTGCGCTCAGCACGAGGGAGCCGTCTGATCGAGGCCAGGCGGTGGCCGGTCCGTGGCGACGCACGGAGTTCATGTTCTTCACGTACCCCTCCCTGGCAGAGAAGCGGCACTCCCGAGCTGCACGCAGAAAAAGTGGGGACATCGTGGACTGCTGCCAGGGCATGTACCGGCTGCTTCCTAGCCCGCGGTCAATTTTTCTAGGTCTCTGTCATTTTTCTTATGCCCCCGGTCAGTTTTTCCTACTTCGCGGATCCAATTTTTCCTACTTCCGCGAATCAATTTTTCTACTTCGCGATCAATTTTCCCTACTTTCGCGCATCAATCTATTTCCTACTTCGCGATCAATTTTTCCTACTTTCGCGATCAATTTTTCCTACTCGCCGCCGCAATCAATTTTCCACTTCCGGCGATTCAATTTTTCCTACTTCGCGATCAATTTTTCCTACTTCCGAATCAATTTTTCCTAACTCGCCGCTCAATTTTTTCCTACTTCGCGATCAATTTCCTACTTCGCGAATCAATTTTTCCTACTTCGCGATCAATTTTTCCTACTTCGCCGATCATTTTTCCTACTTCGCGCTCAATTTTTTTTCCTACTTTGCGCGCTCAAATTTTTCCTACCTCGCGATCAATTTTTCCTAACTTCGCGATCAATTTTCACTAACTTCGCGAAATCAATTTTTTCCTAACGTTCGCGATCAATTTTCACTACGTCGCGTTTCATCAATTTTTCCCTACGCCGGCGGTCATTGTTTCCTATGCCGCCGGTCCATGTTGCCTAGCCCGCCCGGTCCATGTTCCTATTCCGGCCCCCGGTCAATTTTTCCATATGCGCCCTTGGTCATTTTTCCTATGCCTGCGTCATTTTTTTCCTATGCCCTGGGTCATTTTTTCCTATGCCTTGGTCATTTTTTCCTATGCCTTGGTCATTTTTTCTATTGCCTGTCATTTTTTCCTGTAGTGCCTTGGTCATTTTTTCCTATGCCTTGCCCGTCATTTTTTCCTTATGCCTGGTCATTTTTCTTATGCCTTGGTCAATTCTTTTCCTATCCTTGCGTCATTTTTCCTATCCTTGTCATTTTTTCCTATGCCTGGTCATTTTTTCCTATGCCTTGGTTCATTTTTTCCTATGCCTTGGTCATTTTTTCCTATGCCTTGGTCATTTTTTCCTATGCCTTGGTCATTTTTTCCTATGCCTCGGTCATTTTTTCCTATGTCGCTGTCATTTTTTTCTTATGCCGCGGTCATTTTCTCCTATGTCGTGGTCAATTTTTCCTATGCCCCGGTCATTTTTCCCTATGCCTCGGTCAATGTTTTCCTACGACGCGATCAATTTTTCCTATGTCGCGGTCAATTTTTCCTATCCCGCGGTCAATTCTTCCTGTTGAGCATAGACATTGCTTTCTATGTTTACGTGGTCTGCTTAGTGATCTTAGTTAATCGATTATAATTGATCCTCTCCTGCCTGTTACCTGGAAACTAGACGTTTCGTTTATAATGATTAAGACGTTTAAGACTTGACGTTGAAGTTCAATAGAGAGAACATCACGCGTTATTTGCAAAGAACACATTATTTGTGACAGAGGTCGCTTGCCGTTTAATACTTCTCGTCAACACTTTCTGATAAAAATGACACTTTCTTATAAAAATTCATATTAAATTTGTATATTGTTCTATTAAAATGCGTGAAAAATAATAATTTTTTCTTCAAAGGAATATTGATTCGCCATCATTCCTTTGGCACAGATTGTTTCTTTCAATTGTTAACGAATGGGGCACTGTAAAATTCCTTAAAGAGCTCCAGCCATTAAAGTAGCTTTTCGCCTCACTATTTACATTGCATTAAGCCATCAGCACAATATTACGATAAAATAGTGGTGCTACAACAGTGTGTACTTTCTAGCATTATTTCTAAACTTACAATTTTTGAAAATTCAGAGGGTTCAATGAAAATGAAACCTGCGGCAATCTTTTAAGCGCCCTTTCTTCTATCCGAGGAAAACTTTGGAGTGGCTTTTGAGAAAATGATTTTTTATAAATTGCATTAATTTTAAACATAAAGTTAAAATTACTCCTTTCTTCAAAAAAAGTTTACATGACCAACTTTAACGAGCTAATTTTTTTCAAAAAACTTTAAGGCACAAATCTCTATCTTCATTTTTGTGACGGACAGATTGTTTGCCGTCAATCAATTTTTCGGTAACAAGGACCCACAACCATTGTCTTCACCACGTATAACCAATGTCATGTATTAAGGAACATGACTTATCCACTTTTTTGTTAGCAAGGCCTTACAATAACTAATTTCTGTCGAAAATTCGCCAAATTCAGAATTAGAATTAGAAAGGCGAAAATTCTCCAAATTTAGATCCAGAATTAGTATAGTTTCTTTTCTTAAGAAGTAAGGGCGAGAAAGTAAACGGCTAAAGCTTATTTTCTAGTAAAGCAACATATGTTCTAAAATATACACATAATTGTATGTCTTTCTAAAAGAAAGTTGGAACTAACCCCCAATCCCATAGGCATTGGAACCTGGAACGTCTTGTTCACATCAGGGATTTTCTGCGATCCAAATACGTGCCCAGATGCCTCTCGGAGCACGAAATCCAAAATTGCGTCAAATCCTTCAGATTTCAATGACGACGGACTTCCCATGAAGTTGGTGTTAGATTTCTTTTCATTGCTTCCATGAAGACGCTCTGGCTCCCAGTCCTTTCCAAAGCCGCGTGTATTATACAGGAATCTCTGTTTAGAAAAATTGATCCAATTAGTGTGATTTTTTAAAAAAGAATTATTCTGTATACATTATCATAGGTGCTTTCTGAATTGTCGATAAATCCTCGACTCGCGAAGCGAGGAGGGGATTTATTTGAGAATTTCCAAAGCACGAGTGGTGTTTAATAGTATACCCGTTATTCCCGAGTGGTTACCGAGTTATTACCCGAGAGGTATTAATTTTCCACGTATAAAAATATTCCCTATAGAGTTCCAAAATGCGCCAAATATTGAAAATAACTGAAAGCAATTTTAATATCAAAGAGGTTATGTTATAGTAGATACGCGGTTTATTGGACATTGATATAGCGATCGATGTAGCCTAGTATACCGCCTCCTAAGATACTAGATGAGTCACATTATGATTGGCCAGTAGGCCAATGTAGAGATGCGGCAAAGGAAAATCGAATAGAAGAAAGCTATAAACTTTTGGATATACACCGCCCTGATTGGGTCATTTTGTATGTATAGTTTCATGAGTGGAATAAACATTTAAATACAAGTAACTTTTGAATTTTTCTTACAATGGTGAAATGATTATGTGTATTACATTTAATCCAGTGTGACATTTCGGAACAAAGCAATTAGAACGAAAGAGGAGGAGTGGTAGATAAGAAGAAAAGGGGAACTGAAGATGTAAAAAAAATCGCTGACGAGAATAAATAAGATAATGAGGAAAGATAGTAATTTATTACTATTTTTAAGAAATAATTAAATCGTAGTATGAGAAGAATGAGCGAGCCGTCTAAGGTCAAAGAACAAGAAAAGAGAAAAACACGATATCGAAGGAAGAGAATGACGAAGAAAAGACACGCTAGTTTAATGAGATGAAGGATGCAGAGAAGAATAACGCGAAAAGAAGTTGATCAAAAAAAATGAAGAGGACAAATTTGTTTTCCGGTAAATCGTAATTGGGAATACTTACAGAGATATCATTTCCTTGAAATTAAAAGAGTTTGGAAAACTTTAGAATCTGTTGTACTTTGTAAAAACAATAAGTATTCAAATTAGTAACTATTGATACTAGTGATAAAATGTATTTTATTTTGCGAGTAGTAAACATTGCGACGTGATTCCGATAGGCCGAGTGGAGCAATCCTACAAACAAAATACACCTGTTCCATACTCTATTTTGTAGACAGCCTAATTAAATTTATTTGATTTTAAGGGGACACGGAATTGATTTTCAGTCGAAAAACTGTTTCTTTTTATTTTTCATAAATATCCATAATTTTCTCTTTTATTGCCTTGCCAGATGACATTAAACGATTAAATTCGATACAAAACTTTAAGTCTTTTCTGCTGCACAACTACTTCTACACAATTAGAGGCTATACTGATCATCCAAAAGGAAGTAATATTAATTTTAACTATGGCATTTAATGTATTATATATCATTTGGATTGTATAATTCTAATGAACCTGTAACAAGTATTGTACTTCAGCTTCAGGGTCAATGACCCCCATCTCGATCAGGTTTTCGTCCAGTTTTCCTGATCCTCGAGCAAATGCTGAGATGACCCCTTGCTTTCTTTCTGAATATATATGTAACCTCAAATTAACTTCTCCCCATCGCACGTCACACAGAGTTTTTAACTGTTTTTGACGTAAATAAAATAAATAAATAAATTGGCGTTTGAATTTTATTGATATCGCTCTTACATTTTTTATTATTTATATTATTTCATTACCTCTCATTAGGCTTCGGTGTTGTCTAAAAATCTTTTAGTTACACAATGCAGCGCATTAATACCGATAGACTTAGACAAGCAAACATTAAAAAAAATATCGTGAAGCTAAACAATATAAAACGAAGTGTCAACAGGAAGAAGTTATTGCAAAATGTTTATTCTGATGAGGGAAGTTATTGAGCAGGTTTGTTGGGAGGGTTTGCATCTTTAAAGACCTTTTTCCGAAAGTTTTTATACTAAATTATATTTTTTCAACTTATTTTATTCAACATTATTTTTTTCAACATATAATAGGAATCTGAAATTCTCAGGAGTTGATAATAAAGATCTCCTACATTTAGGAAATCGATGTTTTTTCTGAATAACTTAGTATTATTTATTCTGAATAAGTGTATTTACTAGAAATTTGGTGAAAAATTACATTACGAGAAAATATTTTGATCTATACAATTATTACACATTTTTCAAAAACGGTTGCTTCAGTGTTATTATGAGTGATATATCTATAATCTGTAAAAAATCATAACCTCTTACTTTCATAGCTCCTGAGAATGAGAATGAAACATTTAGCATTGCCGGGATAGGTAATTTCGTGCCCTCCTTAATTAAAGTATTCAGATCACTTAAGACTCCAGGGGGGCTAGTGGGCAGCGTACTAACTTTCCGTGGAGTGATCCCGGGTTACATTCTCGGCCGAGGCAGAAGTAGAGTTGCATCTTTCCTTCAAAATCATGTCATTTGCTGTAGCTTGTGACGAAGAGAAGCTCAGGCGGGCGGAGTTTGCTAGTTACGGTGGAGGGAATACGTTATGATTGCCACATGCTTGCCACGTGTCTACCTTTCTCCCCAAGCATGGGAATTAAACTAGCCCCAGACATGGGGGACACCGTTTGCTAGTTGACGAAGTCGAAGAGTCGACGCAAAATGTCAAATACATACATACAGATTACTTCATTGTTATGTCACTAGTAGCTTGTTTTGATTGTTTCATTTACTTTTAAAGAGGAACATTGGCGCATCGGCTCATTTTTAGCACTCGTGCTAAAATTCAACTTCGTGAATCCTCTAAAATATCACATTATACTAGTGGCAGTCTAAAATAAGTTTTATTCCTTCACCAGTGTACTTACTTGCAATTTCAGCAGAGCCAAAAACAACAGCACCAACACAATTGTTTGTCTGTGATATGACAAGAACTCAAGCCACTCGATCAATCCTACAATAAAATTGCATATTGAGGTGAAAGTTCTTCATAACGTACTGAATATATCATTATCAACGCTAACAATAGAACTATTTAAAACAATTAATGCACAAATTGCAGCACTGAAAATGTCAGTGGACATTATAAAAATATAGAAGAAAGGAACATGAAACATAGTTCAAAGCCTTGATGTGACAGAGCTCACGAATTAATTATTCTGCGAACATAATGACATACGTACTTATTGTGAATGATTGGAGGTACCAACGTGTCACCACAAGAGCCGTGCACAGTGCTGTGGTGAAGACAATCTTACTGAAAAGTGCAAAGAGCAGGTCGAAAAGTAGGAAGAACATGGCGTTACAAGAGAGTCGCGCACAGACATACGATACCAAGCCTATTTGTCAGCAGCCTATTTGTCTACTTGATTGCCGCTATGGCCACAATCTAACCACACGACCGTGCACTGGCTACAGCCCCCTACTTCTCGACGGTCGGTGATTCCCCGCGGATAACCGTGAACCCATCGATAAGATAATGCGACAATAACTCGCCGGATCAAGTGTGTTCTCGTACCAATTGCCATTCCGCGAAACAGAGATATCACACTTGTCGTCGCTGTCGATATTATCTTAATATATTATCTTAGACACTCGGGATTCATTGGCAACATAAGAAAATGAGTCAAAAAGCCGAATGCGAAACATCATTCATCTCTTTTTGTTTTGAGGTTGGAGGCCCTGTAACTAAAAGCATTACGATAACCACATTGGGCCGCTCACCATAATATTTCTAAGAGAAGGAGGTAGATAAAATATAATAACGATCGGTAAGCACCAAAAGTTTTTAAATTCTCACTATACTAATGTAAGCAATTTAACTCTTGTGAGCACCCGCACTTTGTCAGTTCTGAGCGTGCACGGTGAAAAGCGAGAAAACACGTAGTTCACCGAGTGCAAAATTGAAATTCTTACTTAATTCTCCAACCCAAAAGAGAAGCACTGAAGAAATTCTCCATCCCAAACAAAAGAGCCCCTGCCGCCTGACGGAAACGCGGCGCCGTGGGAAGGCACCCTAGCACCACACACACACACACACAGACAACACACACAGACACACACACAGACACACACACACAGACACACACACACACAGGACACACACACACACAGACACACACACACAGACACACACACACACAGACACACACCACACACAGACACACATTGACATCGCACGCAAGGCCATGAAGGCAAACGATGGAAAAGCCGGTCCTATGAAGTATTGTGCTATAGTGACCCTAACGTGAAAAACGCCTTTAACACTTGCAAGGTGGAGCTCCATTCTTTCTGCGCCTAAAACTCTGCGAGTTCCAAGGTACACTCTCGAACTTGGTAAAAAGTTACTTTAAGGAGAGAGTCCTCCTATATGAAACTGGGGCTGGAGTACAATCTTATACGTCACAGGCGGTGTCCCACAAGGCTCGGTATCTTGGTCCGATGTTGTGAACACTATGTATGGCGCCGTGTTGAAGCTCGAGTTGCCGGAAGCGCGAAGAACGATTGGATTTGCTGACGATGTTGCAATTGTCGTTGTCGGCAAATACATCGAAACAATGTCAACGCAGGTTGCCAACGAGGCTTGTGCGGAAGATCCGGCGGTGGCTTACGTCAGTAGGGCTAACAGATGGCCGCCCATTAAAACAGAGGCTGATGCTGGTGACGCGGCAAGAAAACGTGAGAGACAGAGTATTACTCTTAATGTAGGAGGCTGCAAAATATCCTCGCACCTGTCACTGATGGTATTTGGGAGTCCATATGACGCGAGACTGCGCTTTGACGAGCACCGCGCGCAATGTCTCCAGAGAAAGCGTCTCGTATGGCATCCGCATTGGCACGCATTATGCCTAGATGTAGGGGACCTGGGCAAAAGAGCCGAAGGCTGCTGACTAGCGTAGTAAATTCCTTCTTCTCTACGCAGCCCCTATTTGGGCTGATTTGCCGATGGCATTCAGTCATATCGCCCGTGGGCTGAAGTCGCGTGCATAGAAAGGTTCCGCCTTGCGGGTTGCTCGAGCGTTTCCGCACCGATCTTATGATGCTGTTGTGCGTGTTAGCAGATATGCCTCCGATCGACCTCATTCGCAAGAAGCTAGACTCTATTTGCGCAAGCGGGGGGGCCTCAAACTGGAATACCATTACGAAAGAAGAGAGGGGGGTGACAATGGACCAATGCAACGACGACTTGGGACAATCATCAACGGGCGAGGACATTCGGCGTCATTCCCGACATCTGACGTGGCGATCCAAAGGGAACCATGGAGAATTAAGGCATTTTTATCTAACTCAGATGCTGACAGGCATGGGATGTTACCGGCAGTATCAGCTCCGATTCCGGCCTGGACGATAGCTCATTATGCCCAAGGTGTTTCCCCGGCGATTGAAGATGTAGAACACGTGTTCTTTCATTGTCCACGCTTCACAGTGGAAGGGAAAACTTCAACAACTCCTCAAAGAGGAAGTGACCCGAGACCATCGTCACTAGGAATGCTGCTGACACAAGAGAAATTGGAGTGCGGTAGCCACCTTTGCCCGCAAAGGTCCTGAAGACGCTCCCTCCGAGAAGCAGTTACGAAGAAGATCTCCCGTAAATATTCGGTGACCTGCGAAAAGCCCACCTTCCTTCTCGCCCGCATGCAATGCCTTGCCGGGGTGGCCCCGTTTCCGCGGGAAAGGAATAGGAAAAGAGGAGGGGTTTTTATGGGTAGGCATAGCTAGCTATGAATCCCCACACCAAGCCGGGTTGCCGTCCCCGCTGTTGTCTTTAGAAGATTTTCCCCGCCACGTAAAAAAAAAAAAAAAAAAAAACAGACACACACACACACACAGACACACACACACACAGACACACACACCACAGAACACACACACACACAACACACACACCACAGACAACACACACACACAGGACCACGTACACACACACGACACACACACAGACACCAACGACACCAACACACACACAGAACACACACACAGACACCACACACAACACACACACACAGACACACACACACAGACACACACACACAGAACACACCACACACAGACACACACACACACAGACACACACCACACAGACACACACCACAACACCGACACACACACCAGACACACACACACACACACACACGAACACACACACAACACACACTAGCACACAACACACACACACAGGACACAGACACACAGAACACACACACACAGCACACAGACACACCACACACAGACACACACACACGAGCACACTACACACAGACACACACACACACAGACACACACACACACAGACACACACACACCACGACATGCACACTACACAGACACACACCCTGTTGTGTGGCCGGGGGGGTTTTTTGTTAGAATAGCCGCCACGGGACCTTCCGCCTGTCGTAAATAGGCGACTAAAAGGAGCAGCGGTCCCGCTATCCTCTCCCGCCAATATCCTTACTTCCCACCTAGTTTTCCTCCCCATCCCCACCAAGACCAATAGGTGACTAGTAGCTTATGGATCTTGCTCCCTATCCCATTCGAAAATCCCCTTTCACCTTCCTTCCAATTCCATCTCATGCTGGCCGGTAGCATATAAAAACGCTAGTTGAAGGTCACCCCGAAATAAACCAGTTGATGCGGTATGAGTGAAGCCTCAAAAACTTACTAACCCCAAAAGCGCCAGTCGACGCGTTGACGCCGAATCTCCGCCACCGAATTCTGATCGGGAGAAAGCCCCGATAGTCGTGCCGGCCTCCCATGGATTTTGGGGGGAGGCCAGCTCAACAAGTGTGTCTGCGAAGAGAATTAGGAGAGTGAAGTTTGTCTGCGAGTTGGGTGAAAAGATCGGGATCTCCTGCATTTTGTCCTGCCAAGGGGAATAATTGTCCACGGGGAGATAAAGCGTATTGGTCAGTTCCATGCCGATCTGACTTTGATGATGATGTGGACATGGAGTCCACTTATCTGTAACAAGCTCGGAAGAACAGTTGCAGGCGGG